GATGAAATAGGTCCTAAACAAGAACTGTAAACCATTTTTATTTTTTTAATGTATTAATTGTGTCTTTTGAGTTAATTTGATAAATAAATTTGGTACCAAAAAATCATTTCCCTTTGACTCAGTTGTTTATATACATTTATAAACGTGATAAAACAGCTTTGGGATTTAACAGAGCTTTACCGGGCTCAAGAAAATTAACACACTGTCTTGTATTTTCATTTTTTCCGAGTACCCGGGTACTCGACCGGAATCACGTCCGAGTAACCGATTATCAAAAATTGACCGATTTGACATCCCTAATTTTTATTAATTTTTCATTTTGTATGCTATCATTTTCCATCTGTGTTCTACATATATAGTTTTTGCCCTGTCCGCCCTGTCTGTTTGTCCGCAAAAACTTTAACATTGCCCATAACTTTTGATTGGTTGGAGGTATGGCTTTCATATTTCACATGTGTATTCCTTGTGACAAGACCTTTCTTTGGGTACCACCATATTTGACCTTTTGACCTTGTGAGTTTGACCCAGTTTTGCAAAATTTTTCCCAACATTAATCTTGGCCATAACGTTTAAATAATTGGTGCTAGGGATTTCATATTTCACATGTGTAATCCTTGTGACAAGACCTTCCTTTGGATACCAACAACTTTGACCCTTTGACTTTGACCTACTTTTGAAAAACTTTAACATTGACCATAAATTTTGAATGGCTGGTGCTAGGGCTTTCATACTTCACGAATGTAATCCTTGTGACAAGACCTTTCTTTGCATACCAACAACTTTGACCCTTTGACCTTGACCTTGGAGTTTGACCTACTTTTGAAAAACTTTAACATTGGCTATAACTTTTGAACAGCAGGTGCTAGGGCTTTCGTACTTCACATATGAAAACCTTGTGACAAGACCTTCCTTTAGATACCAACAACTTTGACCCTTTGACCTTGCAGTTTGACCTACTTTTGGAAAACTTTAACCTTGGCAATAACCTTTGAACAGCTGGTGCTAGGGCTTTCATACTTCACATATATAATCCTTGTGACAAGACCTTTCTTTGGATTCCAACAACATTGACCCTTTGACCTTGGACTTTGACCTACTTCTGGAAAACCCTTTGACACAACTTTTGAAAAGTTGTTGCTAGGGCTTTCATATTTAACATGCTTTTTCCTTGTGACAAGACCTTCCTTTGGATACCAAACAATTGTAATCCATTGACCTTGGAGTTTGACCTACTTTTGAAAAACTTTAACCTTGGTCATAACTTTTGAACGATTGGTTCTTCAGCTTTCATAGTTCACCTGTATACTTCTTGTGAGAAGACCTTTCCTTACGTATCATTAATTTTGACCATTTGACCTTGATGTTTGACTTACTTTTGAAAAACTTTAACCTTTTCCATATCTATTCAATGGTTGCTGCTAGGGCTTTCATATTTCACAGGTATATTCCTCGAGACAAGACCTTATTTTGGGTACCAACATATTTGATTTGCATTTGAGAAAGTTTAACCTTTGCCATACAGGGGCATCAGTGTTTCACAAACACATCTCATTTTTAATATTTGTATTCTATAATTTTCCATTTGTATTGTATAATTCTTCATTTCTATTTTATAATTTTCTATTAGTATTCTATAATTTTCCTTTTGTATATTTTCTATTTGTAATGTATACATGTAATACATCATTTGCATTCTATAATTTTTAATTTGTATTGTATGTGAATTTGATTTGTATTTGTTTTATGTACCATAATACAAATACATTTCACTGTCAAATACAAATGGAATTCACCTACAATTTAAATTGCAACATTATAAAATGCAAATGATATATTATTACAATACAAATGGAAATTATACAATATAAATAACGAAATATAGAAGAATACAAGTAGAATAATTATAATTCAAAAAGAACCAGAAGTCTCTGATGAGACTGTAGCTCTACTGGTCTATACATATAACAAAGGAAAAGTAGCACTTGGATTTGAAACTTTGCAACATGCAGCAATAAATAGAATAATGTATCTTAATGTAGTCTACTTGTGCGCCAAGTTATATTGAAATCAGACCAAATCTGAAGGAGGAGTAGCGTTTTAAAGGAATTTCACAGAAATTTTGATTTTTAGTAACCATGGCAACACCGTTCATCGAAATCAAAAACCGATGCATTAAATCATGTATCTTAGTGTAGTCTACTTTTGTGCCAATTTATATTGAAATCAGACCAAAACTGTAGGAGAAGTAGCATTTTAAAGGAATTTCACAGAAATTTCTATTTTAAATAACCATGGCAACACCGTTCATTGAAATCAAAAAACCGATGCACTAAATTATGTATCTTAGTGTAGTCTACTTGTGTGCCAAGTTATATTGAAATCAAACCAAAACTGTAGAAGGAGTAGCATTTTAAAGGAATTTTACAGAAATTTCTATTTTTAGTAACCATGGCAACACCGTTCATCGAAATCAGAAAACAGAGGCACTAAATTATGTATCTCAGTGTAATTTACTTGCGTGCCAAGTTATATTGAAATCAGATCAAAACTGTAGGAGGATTAGCGCTTTAAAGGAACTTCACAGAAATTTCTATTTTTTGTAACCACGGCAACACCATTCATCGAAATCAAAAACCAAAGCACTATTTTATGTATCTTAGTGTAGTCTACTTGTGTGCCAAGTTATATTGAAATCAGACCAAAACTGTAGGAGGAGTAGCGTTTTAAAGGAACTTCACAGAAATTTCTATTTTTAGTAACCATGGCAACACAATTCATCGAAATCAAAAAACGATGCATTAAATTATGTATCTCAGTGTAGTCTACTTGTGTGCCAAGTTATATTGAAATCAGACCAAAACTGGAGGAGGAGTAGCGTTTTGAAAAATTGTTTACAGACTGATGGACAGACAGACAGACGGACAACACCTTACTATCGCATAAGCTCTTCTGGTCTCTGACCAGTAGAGCTAAAAATTGAGATATCCAAGGATTCAAGATCCCAAGGGTAAAATACTAAAGTAATGTGTGGTTGGGACTTCCAAATCACTTCAACATATCTATCATATTCGAGATATCGGTGTTCGAGATACGGAAGTTCAACTGTATATGATTAATGTGAAAAAAGTGATAACAATATAAAGATTTACAATGAGTTGTACAATTTAGGTTAAAACTGAATAAAACATAATTAAATGTTCTAGTCACAAATTATCATACATGGAAAAAAATGTTTCAAGAGACAATATTCTGAAGGCAAAGTTTAACCATTTAATGTATACAAAATTATATATAGTTACAATGGAAGTTTTCATGTACGAGGGGTTATCAAAAAGTTCGTGGACTGATGCGATAAAATTAATACTATGTAGTTGATGATTACAAAATTTGTAGGGAACATAAAACAACAAAAGTTGAAGAAGTGTTGGAAATTTCAACTTGATATGTTGATAATTTGCCAAATTATCATTAAATAAAAAGAGCATTATATGATCACCCGGCGCTGTCGCCGTTTATTTTTATGACGTCCGACAACGTCACTATTTCTCTATGCCCGCTCCCTCTGCCTCAATACACTTATCTTAATGAGATTCTCTTGAGTAAAGTAAAGACCTAAACCCGTCTTGTTTATATGACTTTACAGTGTTATGAACACCTGATTTCAATGCATTAATATTGTAAATATTAAATCTATACATAGAAAAAGATCCTCGCTTGATTTGCCAGCATAATTTTCTTGCCGGTGTTCAATGTCAACCAATGATCAACGTCACTTTTCGACGTGTCTGACTTTGGACACCCTGACTACAAATCGACATTAACCGTGTGTCTCTTTTCTTGCTGAATCTGTCTTGGTATTTAAACACAAGTACTCTGGATGTATTTTATTTCTCTGTAGCCTGTTTAAACATTTTCTAGGTCTATGTCAGGTTTTCCAGGGGCTGAAACTTTATAGAATGTTGTAAAATGACACCCTACCCCCCTTCGACGTCATTTTTAACCCCTATATTGTTTGGACATTCCCTATCAAATTTACGATAAAATTTCATAGAATATATAGAATCAGGTAAAAATTGCAACTTTTACGGAAAAATTATATCATATCACATGAGTGAAATAATGGGAATTTCGGATGACAAATGCTCATATTAGAAGAGTTTTTCTCAGTTACACTCAGGTAGAAAATACGTCATGTTCGAGGTTGCGCCGCCTTGACATACCATTGCTTACAAAAACATTTACGATTCACTCAAAAATAAAACTTATGATTTATAGTTTATTTTACGGATAGAAAAGAAGATGCTTATTTAATGTTTAAAAATTCATTGATGTATCTTAAGTGGTTTTAATTTTATGACGCTAGTCCACGAACTTTTTGATAACCCCTCGTACATGTATTTAATATGTAAAATCATGGTCTCAAAGTCCAAAACATGTGTCAATTGTGAAATCTGTTTACAAACACCTCTATGTACACACTACTGTAAATGTATTACATTTAGCATGTACAATATTTAGCAGAAATTGGTTTTAAACAAGTTAGCATAGATTTGAGTTAGCACATTTCTTAATGTTCTTATTTATGTGTAAGACATTTAGCATTGTACTAGAAGTAGCAGAAGTTGCTTTCTGCCTAAGGTGCTAAAAAGAATACACAGTATATGTTTACAGTATATTAATCATAGGATCTCCACAATTTAATCTACAAACATCAGAGAAATTCTTTGTACATAAACAATATCTATACTCTCTACAGCTGCCATTTATAATCTGAACACATCATAAGAAGTCTATACTCTAGCTAAATTGTGACAATGGCCATCACTTGCATTATTTTGCAGTAAAATGATCGTATCCAGTAAAAAAACAAATCATTAAAAAATGTCAATGACATGCATTATAAATATTTTCAATAGAATCATAATCTGTTAAGAAGCACAATAAATTTTCTCCAAAATAGTTTATCTACAAAAAAACCAAACTATATCTAGAACATCACTTTTAACTATTTTGATTTTTGCCGAGAATAAAACTTAAAATTTAAAATAAATGCATAGGAAACACCAGTTTCCTTTGGCAAACTACAGTGTTTATATAAAATATGTAAAACCAATGAAAAGTCTACTTTCAATGATAAAATATATATATGTTAGAGATACATACATCTTTTATACAAGTCTTAAATTCTCTTTCCAACGAGAAATATAGTTTTTCCTTAGTGAATCTTGATTAAACTAGCAGTGCTCCAGTTTTTGGTTTCAGCTGCCTCAATGTCATTTAATTGGTGACACAAATACTTCAGTTTATTTGTTTATTGGTCTGTCAGTTCTCAGGCTCCTCTAAATTGTCATTGTAAACAATTAGCGACCAGCTTCTACCAATCTAAACCTTTTTACACTGTCTATTATTCTAGTAAAACTTTCGAAACAGTCTGTTGCTTGATGTTTCCACAGGTATACATATTCCTACTCTCTGACACCCATCCCTGACATAAGTTTGTCCCTGATTTTATAAGGTTTGGGAGTCTGTTTTACTTAGCCCTCTTCTTTTTGAAGGCCTTAAGACTGCTTGCTATGTTTGTCTTCTGAGGAGATGTTGGCTAGAATTGAGAAAAATTCAGTAAGCTAAAACTGAGACAAAAAAAAAAGAAGAAGACAAAACAACTACACAATTATCCCACTTCTGAAGATGAGAATGAAATTCATCGTAAAGGTGGTAATCAAACCCAGATAATTTTACAAAATCTATTCAGCCAAATTTTACATTATGCACGAGTTACAGTAAATACTGTTAAAATATTGCAATCCAAACAATTTTAATCATATGTAGATACATTTTCATCTTCAGATGTACATAAGTGTAACATGTCTAATGCTCAAATATAGTAACTTCTCAAGATGGAGTATCCCCCCTTTATTTTTTTTGATTGGAACCTAACCTTTATGGAGCCCCTTTTATCTTTTTTGGCCTTCTCACTGTCAGAAGTATCGTCAGTTTCATCATCCGAGACTGAGGAAGAACGCACTTTCTTTTGGGGTGAAACCATCTTCTTAGGACTTGTCTGAAAAAATGACCAACAGCTGCACTGGAAGGTAGTAACTTTAATAATGAAGATTGGTTTGCATGTTTCCCCTGTAGAGCAACTCATTACTTAAAAAAATCAATAAAATTCAATAGTGTTGAAGGAAGATCTGAGTATTTACGAGGGTTGTCCCAGAAAAACGCTGACATTTTCAATATTTTTTGTTTCATTAATATCATAAAGTTAAAAATTGGTATGCACCATAATCAACATTTTTTACATAATTCACTGAAATTTCAATACAATATCTATATATGGCCAAATAAAATTAATTAATAGTTTCTCAGGCCAAAATTTTCAAAATTCAATGCGGCAGGCAGGTTATTTATTTTTTTTTTTTGAAGCAGGTATTATACCTTTTTTTCATGTCAGTTGTTGAACAAAATGATGATATCAACTTATTCTTACTTTTTTGTTCTCTTACGTTAATTATAATATGTATTCAACTTTAAATGATGTAATTCCAACCATTTGTTTAAAAGTTAATTCATAATATACAGTATTAACAAGAAATATATTGTTTATCTAATAAAAGTTAATTCATAACATACAGTATTAACAAAAAACATATTGTTTATCTAATAAAAGTTAATTCATAATATACAGTATTAACAAAAAATATATTGTTTTCTAATAAAAACATCTATCTATTAGCATTTATGAAAAGGATAATAACTCGATTTTCTTTTTCAACTTGGAAAAATAGAAAATTGAGTTATTTCCCTTTTCAAAATGTCAATAAAATTGATCAATGCAGCAGTTTTTGACCTGATGCAGCGGTGCCTGAGAAACTATTGATTAATTTTTTTGGCCTATTTTATATTACATTTTTATCTTTGATCGACGAACCATTCAAAATAGCTGTCGGTGCAACACTGACGACGTCAAAACGAAGCTTGTGGAGTTTTTTACTTTGTTCCGGAAACATGCATCATTGAAAATTTGTTTGAAGCATGAATTCAATACTGCATTTGATTTTCTTTTAGTTATTGAGTTATCCATTTCACACATTTAAGTTACAGTTAAGAATAAATCAAGGAGTTAAATCTTTCAAAAGACAATTTCCCAATCATAAATCTAACTGCTCGCATAGTTATCGGCGGTCTCCAGGTATGACATCCAGCTCTAGACTTTTCAGTTGTCACTTTTGTGCCTCTTTTACTATGTATAAATGTGACCGATACATGTATTTGTGTTGTTCCCTGGTTCCCAGCTCTTTTCCCGTATGAACAGGGATCATACCTCACTCCACACAGTACTGAGTGATAATTTGGTGCGCTGCATTATATCACCTGACATCGCCGTTTTTGACAGTATCCAGTTAATAGTGTTTGTGCATATAATGTCATATTTTATTATTTATAATGTCTGAGTATTGATTTTTTTACACACCAGTACTCTAGATCATAGTTTCTAAGGAAGTAATTTTGTCAAATTATATTTCCGTATAGTCTGATAATAAAGAAAACATTGCTGTCAATGCAATTTTTGAAAGTCAAGAAATTGCTGTGCACAGACCAGTGATATTTAATACCCTTTAAATGTTGTTTCAAAATGTATATAACATTACAACCTTAAATTACTTAGTCAAAAGGACGAAAATATCATTTCCCAACATTGTGCCAAAAATGAATAATTTTGGTCAGGCAGTTTATGAAATATCTAAAAAGTTCACGTTTTTCTGGGACAACCCTTGTACACTCTAAATCAATATGTGTTTTCTTCCATACACTAAGTACATGTATGTAGCAACCAATAGATTATAACCACAGTGCAATCATAACAAAGTCAGTTAACACTATACAGCAAAACTCAGTGATAGCTAAGTTCAGGGAATTGCACCACAGTGCAATCATAACAAAGTCAGTTAACGAATGTGCTAAATTTATCACTATACAGCAAAACTCAGTGATAGCTAAGTTCAGGGAATTGCAGATTTACTTCACACTATCTACGTAATACAATAGTGAATGTTTATGTTATTGATTTGAAATTTATTTTTCTATATAATGACTATACCAAATATTTGTAATTTTCAATCTCTAAGGAATACAGAATCAACTCGACAAAAATAGCTAGAAAATAGCTATCTGTAAATGAATTTTACTAAAGTTCATTATACCGTAAAATCTTACAAGGAAATAATTTAATTTTGGTTGCAATGCACCATTTGATTGGATAAAAAAATAATTTATATTGTATAACCTGTGTTGCCAACATCACTTTGACTTACGTCAAAAATGTATCAATCCGCTTGGTGTTACATTTAAACTATGTGCAATTTGAAGGCATTTTTGAAGGAGAACATGTCTTATTTTCTACGCTTAATGACAGAAAATTAAATTATTAGGAATGAATTTAATAGCTAGTCAAGTTATACAGGTACATGTACATGTATAACCTAGGTTGGAACAGCCATAAATGTTGTACAAACTGAATTTTGGTGTTTTACACAATTGTTACAAGTTTGATAACCTTGATAAAACATGCCTGGTAACCTTGACAACACTTTTATTTAACATGTCTGGTTACCTTGACAACTTTTTTATTTCCTTTATCCTCGTCATCACTCGATGAAGAAGACGAGGAAGAAGAAGAAGAAAATGAAGGAGAACGTTTCCTCTTCCTGGGGCTGCTACTGGGCTGTTGTGTACTACTGACCTGAAATCACATACATAAAAAATACGGTTAACACCTATCAAATAAATAAAAGATTCATGTAACACCTGGCAAACAAAAATAGCTTTATACAGCACCTGTCCAATAGACAATAGCTATCTGTAGCACCTGTCCAATAAACATGAATTGCTATATGTAGCACCTGTCAAATAGATAATAGCTATATGTAGCACCTGTCCAATAGACATGAAAAGCTATATGAAGCACCTGTCCAATAGACAATAGCTACAAGTAGCACATGTCAAATAGATATGAATAGCTATATGTAGCACCTGTCAAACAGAAAATAGCTATATGTAGCACCTGTCAAATTAATAATTACTACATGTTGCACCTATCGAAGAAATAATAGCATTATGTAGCACAAGTCAAAAAGATAATAGCTACATATTTAACCTATTAAACAGATACCAGCTTCATGCAGAACCTTAAATACTTAATTGCTACATGTATATGTAGGACCTATCAAATAGATAACAGATGTCTAGTAATTGTCAAAAAGATATAATGACATGTATATATAGTGTTATTAAATAAAACAGCTGTGCATAGCATCTGTCAAATTAATAATAGCTACTGTAGATTCCTAAATATATGTGCGGAATTAATTATTGTGTAATATTGCGAGAAGCACCACTTGTGATATAAAATTACTCGCTTTAATTTTTATGCTGCTAAAATCAATATAAAATATCTTGATCAGATGCCCACTAGCAAATTATTGCTCTCATGATTTGATGTTAAAAAGCCATTTCATAATAATAAGTACTTGCAAAAAATAAGGAATCTACGGTATATTTTGACCATTCCAAATAGATAAAGCCATATTTATCACCTTTCAAATTAGACAGCTGCTATATAAAGAACCTGTCAAATTCATGACAACTATATGTAGCACCAGTCAAACACATAATGTTGACCTTGAATTAACATTGAAACTCCATGATATATTTGTATATTTTAACTCAGATGTACGATTTTTTAAAATTTTATGGAGTTGTTATTTAAAAAAAGAAGTTTTTATTTCATGAATTTGTAAATCCTGCCACACAGACAAAGATTCTAGGGGTGGGAAGATATACCGATACATACCGATATTTTCTGCTAAGATACAGTTTACGATACGATGCGTTAAAATATCGGTACAAAACAATACACAAACAACCTATCAAAAAATTGAAAATGAAAGTACTTGTCCTTGGAAAATGGTGGCTTGTACAATAGAAAAGATGAAATTGACAACACACTTAAGAACTAATAAGTCGTAGATAAGGGGTATAACATTTTTACTTTTAAGCATCCTCAGAAGATGGGACAAGAAAAGTTCAGTATGTAAAGCGTGTTATATACAGAAAGTATCGTTTCCACAACAGTTGATATTATTAATTGTTAGTCCATCTGGCACTAACAGCTCATAACAAAGCATGGATTCTCTAATTTCAAGAATTTGAAATTCTGAAACAAATTGGGGATTACTTTTTTTCTAAACTCAACTTGATTACAGGCTTTTCAGCAATTAATAATAAATGTACATGTGATGTTTCTTTTAAATGAATTTTTAGTCAGTGTTCTTGATGAACTACACAACTATTTGTAAACAACTTGTTTATAGACATTTGGCAATATGTACATGTAATATTGTTTTTGTAAATTTTTAGTCAATAATATTGATGAACATCAAGTATTAATTTAAGAGCACATATGATTTGATATAGATTAATTTGTTGATTTATTGTCAAGACAAAAAAAATAAAACAAAAGTTTTTTTAATAGTTTTATAATTTATCATAATAATGAGATACGTATTGTATCGTGTTATAAATATAGGATCGCCCATGATTTGTAGTTGGATATGATTTTTATCCAACGAGTTGTGTGTTTTTTATCCCCGAGCCTTGGCGAGGGGATAAAAACACACGAGTTGGATAAAAATCATATCCAACTACAAATCATGGGAGATTCTTTTTATCCCATGTTTAATACTTCACAACCAATGTTTTACACTGTTTTATATAGGACTCCACTTTATTTTACTTCATCACGCTAACGCAAAAACCATTGTGACGTCACAACTGCACTTAACTGTGGATTATGAAAAAATTATCCAGTGAGTCATATCCATGGGATAAAGGGGTAAACATGGGATAATATCGAGATACGTATCATATCGCAAGATCTGTGTATCGTCCCACCCCTAAAAGATTCAGACAGAATGAAAAGGTCCAAGTCTGCCTTGCTTTTTAGCTGATATATAAACTAATGAATACTGCCTTATTTCTTTGTTTGTTAAAAAAAATTGTCAATGTTACTAAATGTATCAATATTGATTGGACACTGCATATAAAAACATGGTTTCAGAAGAGTGTGTCATCTAATGTTTAAGTATGGTTGTGTTGATTGGACACTGTAAATCACTTTTTATTCACGAGAACTTTATTTTCGCATTATAACGTGAGGAAGTGTGCTTGCGTAAATATTATACTCTTGTATATTAGTATTCCTTAAGATTGTATAGAGCAGTCACCACAATTCGTGAAAATTTTGTCTCGCTAATAAAGAGTAAATATCTTTTCACGAAAATAAGGTGTCGCAAAAATTTCGTGATCTACAGTTATCCTTCCTGATAAATGTTACACATACAATTACAGGGACTACTGGTGACATCTCCCTTTTCTTCTTTTCTTTGTCATCATCTGAAGACTCCGACTCAGAACTGCTACTCTCCGATTTCCTCTGATTCCGCTGAAGGGAAAAAAGTCGCAGTAAGAAGGTTAAAATAAACAAAAATATTGCTGAAACAACTATATTGTGGAATGCTCTAAACATGGTAAAAATAAATTTACTTTTACAAAAATACTGTATTTGTAAGTACTTTGATAAATGAATATGTAAAACACAACAATTTTACTAATATTTTGCTTACAGCATAATGAAGGAAAAGTAACTACTGACTACAGTAAAATGTATCTTTTATTTGTGGGTAACACAAACATTCAGGCCAGCAGCCCTTTACTCCTACCTTCAAACCAGATGTGGCCTTGACTAGGTTCCTACATGCACCTTATTAAAAGGTGTGACCTTGAATACTTTCATACCTTTACACTGAATGTGTTCTTGACTAGTTTCCTACCTTAACACTAGGTGTAGCCTAGAATAGTTTCCTACCTTTACAACAGGTGTGGCCTTGACTTGTTGCCTACGTTAACACTGGGTGTGACCTTGACTAGTTTCCTACCTTTACAACAGGTGTAGCCTTGACTAGTTTCCTACCTTAACAACAGGTGTAGCCTTGACTAGTTTCCTACCTTAACAACAGGTGTGACCTTGACTTGTTACCTACGTTAACACTGGGTGTGACCTTGACTTGTTTCCTACCTTAACAACAGGTGTAACCTTGGCTTGTTCCCTCCTTTAACACCAGGTGTGGCCTTGACTAGTAACCTACCTTAACACCAGATGTGACCTTGACTATAGTGACCTACCTTAACACCAGGTGTGACCTTTCTGGGGGATGACAATCTTGATACTGTAGTGTTGGCTTCATCATCTGAAGAATCATCAGAAGATTCCTCAGAACTAGAGCTGTCTTCCTTTCTTACAGCCACCTTGGGTGAGCTTTTAACATCGGACTTGGTCCTTGGTTTAGGTGACGAGTCACTCTTAGACAAGTCTGACTTCTGTGCTTTTGTTGTGGAATGAGAATTCTTTCCCTGGAAAGACAACAATCATGAATGTATACAGCCAAGGCAATTAAATGTAAATTACCTGAACACCAGGTGTGGCCTTGACTAGCTTCCTACCTTAACACTGGGTGTGACCTTTACTACTTTCCTACCTTAACACTGGGTGTGGCCTTGACTTGTTTCCTACTTTAACACCAGGTGTGGCCTTGACAAGCTTCCTACCTTAACACTGGGTGTGGCCTTGACTAGTTTCCTACCGTAATAACAGGTGTGGCCTTGACTAGTGACCTACCTTACCAACAGGTGTGACCTTGACTACTTTCATACCTTCACACTGGGTGTGTCCTTGACTTGTTTCCTACCTTTACAACAGGTGTGGCCTTGAATAGTTTCCTACCTTAACAACAGGTGTGACCTTGACTACTTTCATACCTTTACACTGAATGTGTTCTTGACTAGTTTCCTACCTTAACAACAGGTGTAGCCTAGACTTGTTTCCTACCTTTACAACAGGTGTGGCTTTGACTTGTTTCCTACCTTAACAACAGGTGTGGCCTTGAATAGTTTCCTACCTTAACACCAGGTGTGGCCTTGACTAGTAACCTACCTTAACACCAGATGTGACCTTGACTATAGTGACCTACCTTAACACCAGGTGTGACCTTTCTGGGGGATGACAATCTTGATACTGTAGTGTTGGCTTCATCATCTGAAGAATCATCAGAAGATTCCTCAGAACTAGAGCTGTCTTCCTTTCTTACAGCCACCTTGGGTGAGCTTTTAACATCGGACTTGGTCCTTGGTTTAGGTGACGAGTCACTCTCAGACAAGTCTGACTTCTGTGCTTTTGTTGAGGAATGAGACTTCTTTCCCTGGAAAGACAACAATCATGCATTAATACAGCCATGGCAATTAGATGTAAATTAATCTTTCAAACATCTGCTGCAATTCTTTTTTAAAGTTTTCTCAATTATATTACAAAGTCTCAATGTCTTTTATCTTGTATTACCATCATTTTTTTTGTTTTTGCATCTTTTGTTGACTTTAATTTGAAAATGTAATTCACATACATGTAATCTGAATTTACAAACATTCCATTTTATTTATGATTATTAATTTAGCTACTATAATCAATGAAAGAAGTACTTGATCTGAAAAAAAAAAATTAGACTGCCAAGACAAAGTTTGAAAAGCATATCCTTTCCTTCTCCATTTTTTTAAATCCATACCTTTGGTGGGTGAGGAGAATCAAAGTGCTTGGTGCTAAAAATAAAAGGAAAAAAAAATCAATGAGAAGTTAAATACACTGCACAAAATAAAAAAAAATCAATGAGAAGTGAAATACACTGCATAGAATAAAAAAAAATCCTATAGGTATAAAGGAGCTGCAGGGAATTATTAGATGATTGGATGAAAAAAATCAAAACAAGCCATGAGTCTAATACAGACAAAGGCATATTCATATATCATTCATAGATGAACCAAATTTATAAATAATCATTTTATGTTATTCACTGCGGCTGAGAAAAATTCTGCCTTTCCATTTCTTCTGAATCCATGAAGAATAAAATATAGGTAAGATAACACATATAATCACTAATATATACATTTGTGGTATCTCTCTATTATATAAACATGTAGAGAGCAAATATCTTCATACCTGTATGAAGTTTTTCGAAGGTCATAGGTCATTACGTGACCTAATCACACAGCGCAGTAATATCTACATAAAAAGACTTACTCCACTAAGCAAAATAGCATGTTTTCATGCATAAAAATGTACAAAATACGCAAGTAAAATAATAATAATTTTATTTACAATGTAAACGAGTATTTAATACAGTTCTTGATCGATTTTACATAGAGAATAGAAAACTACGTGTTATAAGTTTCATGTCTGAGCTGCATAGTCTCAACTTTTACCCTTATTTTTCTCGCAGACCTCTGAATGCTATAAATTTTTTTTTCATTAAACTTTACTCACAACAAATTTGAAAATCTGTTGAAAAATATCAATGTAATGCAATCACGCCACAAACAGCTGACAAACACTGCACTTTGGAAGTTCGGTAGGCACACCTCCATCATCGAGATCGTTGTCACGGTTGTGACGTTGTCTTAACAATGTAAGCTTTCGCCAGTGTCTCCATATGTCAACATCATAAATTAATAAATATGCCTTACTGAAATCGTAGATTTTATGTTTTTGATCAAAGTTTGTACGTGATTTCAAGTTATCTGGTTCGGACAAGTGTCTCCATCCATCCCTTTCCGACCGAAATTCCTCCAACTTTTTATTATCAAACATCGGACGTGTTTCTTGTGTTTTTGAACATCGAATATGGGTTCTCATGAATACAGAAATCCCAGACATCATTATGCTCACTATAATTGATCACAAGTATCCTTTCACAGAATATTCCCTTCGAAACAGAATCCTGTGTCAGATGAATTTGAAGCGTAACCGCTTTTCAAGCCGATTTACACCTAGCGTAATTTTTCAAAATCTACGACGTACAGTTAGTGCAATATTTATATTCGATTACATTCGATTGTCCGTCTCAAATGTATATATAAGTAATAATTAACAAGTTTAAAAACTTCAATGGGAATTGAAGTGGGTCGGTACGTGATCAAATCTTCTGAGAAGGCCTTCGGCCTTCACAGGATTTGATCACGTGACCCACCCACTTCAATTCCCATTGAAGTTTTTAAACTTGTTATTTATTTCTTAAATAAAATGATAGGGAAATGCACACTGTACATGTGTAATTTATATATCAATTATAGAAGTAGAAATATAGCTGAACATTGTCCTTGTTCAAGGTCACAAGGTTAGAGGTTACAGGATAGATGCAGCATTCAGAGCAAACATCCGAGAAAGAATCTATATAGTAATATATCATATATTTGTAAGTTTGCATTGAATAATTTGGGGAACAGATCATAACGCCTATCCAGTGAGGAATTAGTCAACCCTTAAATATAGGTCAAATGTTGCATTCTAAAAAAGTGTCCAAATATGCATCCATGGGTAGAGCACACTTGCATACTTATTACAAAAGATAATGAAGATAAGCCATCTAGTGACCTAAAATCTAAGCTTGTGTGTAGTCGGAATCAAGGGAGCCTAAAATGTAGGTCAACCAGAGTATACACAACACTATTATTATTTCAGTGATATTGGATACTTAGTGATAAGAACCAGTACAGGAATTTATAATCTGGCCTTAAACCCTGCATCTAGGGACAGACAGATAGAGTAAATGCAGCCCCCCCCCCATCCTTGAACTCCTCTGAATGGGGGGGGGGGTGTTCTGTATATTTTGGATATAGGTCACATCTCATTCAGACACATCGAAGAAGGTGACATTGCCTACATTACATAATAACTATCATGTACACTTACTAAAACTCCGTTATTCTTCTCTGCTCACTGGCCTGGGCTTCATATTTCCTAAGGTACTCTGACTGCAATAAATAATGAGCAATTTGAGACAGTGGTGTTTAGTATCTATTTACATTCTTATGACAATATGACACGGTGATACAGTGGCTGAATTTGATCAAAGTTTAAGCTGAAAAAGCCATAGACAGCCTGGCCTTGGACCATCACATATTTAAACCCCTGCTACTGACCAAGGTTTTGTATACACACTGACCTGGATTCTACTGAGAGTCTGGCCTAGACTAGTCAGTACACACTGACCTGTTCTTTGTAATCTAAGCTACGGAATGCCTCAGACTGTCCTGTTCTTTGTAATCTAAGCTACAAAATGCCTCAGGCTGACCTGTTCTTTGAAATCTATGCTACAGAATGCCTCAGACTGACCTGTTCTTTGAAATCTATGCTATAGGATGCCTTAGACTGACCTGTTCATTGAAATCTAAGCTACAGAATGCCTCAGATTGACCTGCTCTTTGTAATCTAAGCTACGGAATGCCTCAGACTGACCTGTTCTTCGTAATGCAAGCTATGGAATGCCTCAGACTGACCTGTTCTTTAAAATCTAATCTAAGTTATGTGTCTCAGGCTGACCTGTTCTTTGAAATCTAAGTTACGGAATGCCTCAGACTGACCTGTTCTTTGAAATCTAAACTACGGAATGCCTCAGACTGACCTGTTCTTCGTAATCTAAGTTACGGAATGCCTCAGACAGCCTGGACAGAACCTCTTCTTCCTCTAGGTCTGGATTTTCTTCAACTACTTCCCCTCTCTCCTCCTTCATGTACTGTATCTCAGCCTTCTTTAAGTCTCTCTGCTTCAGCTTCGGGGGTGCCTTGGGCTTCGGTGTTTCATTTTTTCTTTTGATTTTCTTCTGTTTATGACATACAGGTATAAGAATACATCAAATTGTTAACTATGGCAAATTAGGGTATGTAATACATTTAGCCTCTTGTTATATAAGTAGATAAATATGATAAAAGCTCAAAGAACATACATGTATAAGTCATTTGAGTCTGCTTTTTTTTTTTTATCTATCACAATGTATAAGGGGATAGACACTGCAACCCTTATCCACTGTATAAGTCATTTGAGTCAGCTTTTTTTTTTTTTTATCTATCACAATGTATAAGGGGATAGACACTGCAACCCTTATCCACTGAAAACAACCCACCACAGAATGGACATACTCATTGGCATTCCAATGGATAGAGCATTTTTTTGGTATTTTCCAGTAGATTTTTTTAAAACTAAAAAAGCCTTGATTAATTTGAAATGTGTGTCCCGATCAGTCTTTTATCCTACAGTCTTACCTCATACTGTTTAAACCTCTCCCTCCTCGCGGGGCTAAGACTTCGCTCGTATTCTTCAACCTCCTTTCTCATTTGCTCATTGATCTAAAAAAAAAATAATTCAATTAGAATTAAATACACAATACAGAGTTCAAAATCTTTCACAACTTCATAAATCAATTAAACTTGATGAATTGTCACATATGCTTCTACAATGTACAGTGCTCGATACATTACAGAAGACTTCACTGGAAGTTTATAACCTTCTTTGCTTCATCTGCATATTTCTGACGTTCTTTGTCCGACAAAAGTTTCCAGTTTTCCGCAATCTCCTTAAAGCTTATTTTGGGGTCTCTTTCCCTTCTTCTCTTGGTGTAGATATTATAGCTATTGGCTCTGAAACACAAAAGAAACAAATAAGATATAAATAAACTCATTAGATTATATAAATAAACTCGTTAGATTATATAAATATACTCATTAGATTTTGACATGATTAATTCATAGATCATTACATCAATATCACACCGAGATAAACCTTTCTGATTTAAATCAAGAGATGGGCACACTTACGGCTGTTTTTGTATCTTTGGGGCATCAGCAAACTAAAAAATAAAATTAGCTCTTCTCAATTACAGTGAAGATAAATACTCTTTTTCAATTGGGATAGAAAACAGACAAAACAAAATCCTTAAAGGAGTCAGACAGGATCATAAACAACTTATACTTTAATACTAATAAAAACTATCTAACAATATAACATTATTTTAAAAACAATTTATGTTATTATATAACCAAATAATCAATATTGCTCCTACAGAAGTTTAAATATTCTGTGTAAAACTTTAATCTATTCCCAATCATATTCCCCTAGACATTAACTTGGTTAAGATACCTGAATTAAGAAAACAACTTATGTATGTAACTGTTGTTTATATTCCTACCTGATGCTATAGAACCTCTCATACGTAACTGTTGTTTATATTCCTACATGATGCTATAGAACCTCTCATATGTAACTGTTGTTTATATTTCTACCTGATGCTATGAAATCTCTTCTACGTAACTGTTGTTTATATTCCTACCTGATGCTATGGAATTTCTCCTACGTAACTGTTGTTTAAATTCCTACCTGATGTTATGGAACCTCTCCTACATTTTACTGATGCTGTAAACATCCTACCTAATGTTATGGAACCTCTCCTACATTTTACTGATGCTGTAAACATTAGGCCTTACCTCAGACTTAACAGACTTATGGCTGGAACTCTGGGAAGACAGAAACTTCTGCTTTTTCTCCGGAGGTAATGATGCAAGAAAATTGTCCAGTTTTTCCTGTGCTTCCTTGTTAAGCTGAAATAAATGAAACCGGTGTTGAAAAACATCCAAACACATCATCTCTAAACAAGAGGCCCAGGGCCCTAGCAGTCACCTGAGTATGATACACCCCTGTAAGGGATCCACAGAATGAAAGTAAAGAAAAATAAACCAATAGAAATATATTGCTTAAAAACAAGAGATATAGGGTGATCAAATCAAAAGTACATGTACTTGTTGTTAGAACAAGATTTGAAAAAAAGCAAAGGAAGTTCCCAAAGAATATACAGTAAAACAGGAAGATAGTGAACATGCTGAACTACTCCAAGACTCTTATCAAATCGGGATGCAGTCTGCCATTTTCTGATGACCATTTCTAACTTTTACAAATTAAAGTGATTTCATATTATATAAAGCTTTTTATTTTCAAATGAGACTCCTCCCAGCCAGAAGGAAACTCCACAAAAATAACCCAATTTTATCTGCCTTACTCACAGGGAACTACATGTATGATAAATCTTCAGTAAATCACATTTTTACAACTTTCACTTTAAACTGATTACAAATTTAATTTCTTTTCATTAGCATAAGTGAATTATTTATGATTAGAGTGTTTAATATGTTTTCTCTAAACCTATGAATTAGATACACACATTATTATGTGAGTAAAATGTCTTGGGTATTATACATATAATAGTTGTTTGCCGATTCTATTTGTTTGAGTTCATACTCAGCTAGAAAATACAATGTTTAAAGAAATTCAGCACAAGCAAATCAAATTGTTTAATTGTTATTTTGATATTATATTTTCTATCATTGTAGAATGTTAAGTTTCACAAAGATGATAAGTGCTGTCCTTGATGTACAATGAATATTTTCAAAAGGATGGTTTAAATACAGAATTGTATATTATACGTAAAATGTGGTATCATAAGCATGATAAGAATTATACATTTAATCTTAATCTTAATCTTAAATACGAGGGGTGATCAAAAAGTTCGCGAACCATCTCTGTATTTGCAAAACCACAATTCAGATCAAAAATGAAATTTGGCACACATATAGTCATACATGTGTTCTGTAAATAGCAGATGTTATTTAATGTTTTGCTCTATGTTTGTGACATCACAATGTGAAAATGACATCGATAGGTAGGTTACTTGTGACAAAAAATGATTGACTCAGTCGTAGTCGAGCAACGAACGGTTGTAAATTTTAATGTGTATCTTGGAAATTCCTTTGCAGGAGCATATAATAATTTGTACAAAGTTTATAAAGACAAAAAACTTGCCAGGATTTCAATCATTAATTTGATTGATTGTTTTAGTGAAGGAAGGAAGATGGTTAAAAATGATGTTTATTCTGTTGCCCAGTGAGGGCAAGTTGGGGAAGAGATGTGTCCTTAGTTGAGCAGTTTGTATATGAAAGACCACCAAGTTTCAGTTAGACAAATAGCTGAATATCTTAACAATATTATAATTATTAAATCTCTAAAATATCGTTTACTTAAGACTTTAAACATATCAGATATGATACAAAGAAGGCGCCCATACTTTATCTACACTGGATTTAAACGATGCTCCCAAGACAGAGGACTTGGGTTGTGATGGTCACTATGCTCATTCTTGAAAGGATATCCTTATCGACCCTTCCTATTGCTGAGACAATTCCATTTCTGACAAATGGACTGTTCTTATTATAAAAAATAACTTGCATGGTAAGAAACATAAAACTTGGAAAATTCTTTTAGCTTCTGTGAACGGAACGCTTCGGAGCATGTCACGTGACCGCCTGTATCATGTGATTCGCGCATGGACAGGACAGTGGCAGATGTGCATTTAACTTGGAGAGAACTACTTTAAAAAAATAATGAGCACTGAAACATTTTTTCATTTCTTTTATGGAAGAAATTCAATTTGTTTGCGAACTTTTTGATCATCCCTCGTATAGATCAAGATTTATCCATTGGAATCTGTTGCAGACGTCTTTTTATCCCATGTTTACCCCTTTATCCCCTGGATATGACTCATTGGATATTTTTTTACAACCCACAGTTAAGTGCAGTTGTGACGTCACAATGGTTTTTGCATTAGCGTGATGTAGTAAAATAAAGTGGAGTCCTATATAAAACAGTGTAAAACATTGGGTGTGAAGTATTAAACATGGGATAAAAAGAATCTCCCATGATTTGTAGTTGGATATGATTTTTATCCAACGAGTTGTTTGTTTTTTTATCCCCGAGCCTTGGCGATCCTATATGTCAATGCATAAAAATCGAAAATGTACATTTAAGAAATGAAATTAATTTTTGACAATTCTTGAGGACATGAACTACCACACTTCACGCCAGCATATTTCATGAAGCGTGTTAGTGCTGAATAATCAATATGCAGGCGTGAAGCATTGTAGTTCATGTACATGTACCTCATGAATTCTCAAAAATTAAATTCATTTCTTATATTTACATTGTCTGATGACTTGTCACAAATTTTTGTCACTCAATATTGTTGAAACAAAACAGTTTGCACTATAGTTTTGATGCCAAGTTAGGTATCACAATGGAGATTTTCGTGCTTGTCCATTTAAGTTCATGAGAAATGAACTGTTTTCTAACTTAATCTTAAGGAAAAATATTGGGTAATGTAAATATTATAGAATGGAAAACAGAGAAGTATTTGGTGTACAGCTGAGTTTACAAGTTATTATTAATAAATGTTTTGTTTACGGTATTTCTAATTTAGTCTTTTTCAACTGTGGTTTAAAAAAGAAATGTTATTCGCAGCTGAACAGCATGAACAACAATAATAATACGATTTATATATATACTGTTTATCTATATTAACTCTGATGCATGTAGATACTGGTTGATACGTTCCTACCCTATAAGCTGTTTCTATTTCATGACAATTCTATTTTTAGATACTGGTTGGTACATTCCTACCCTATAAGCTATTTATATTTCATGACTATCCTATTTTTACCTTCTCCGCTTCTGCAGCGTATTTTTGCTTCTCCTTGTCGGAAAGGGTCTTCCACCCTTCTGCAATTTCTTTAAAACTTGGCTTTGAATCTTCCTCTAGTCTTTTCTTGGTATACAGATTATAACTGTTGGTTCTGAAACATATAAGTTCATTTTATTTTTCATACATATAATTTAAATTATAATCATTTGTTCTGAAATATACAAGTACATTTTATTTTTCGTATATATATTTTAAATCATAATTGTTTGTTCTGAAACATACAAGTACATTTTATTTTTCGTATACATAATTTCAATTATATCTCTTTATTCTGTAAACATACAAGTTCATTTTATTTTTCTTATACATGTATATAAATTAAATGTGTTTGTTCTGAAACATACATGTATATTCAAATTGCTACAAATAAGCATTTTATAAATCTAAAAGATTAATGAACTGGTTTTACATATATTGTAAAATCACTTATTTTGATCAGGTCAAATTTGTGTGGTTTGAGGAAAAATATTTGTTTTGAGGGATGTGATTTCTTGGTTAAGGAAGTTAACATTATACTGTAGTTTGTCAAATTATCTAACTGACAAATCAATGTCAACATTTTATGAGACACAAAATTGTGGCTCTCTCCACCTCCTCCCCCCCCCCCCCAAAAAAAACCCGAAAATTTTCTCCCACAAATATTAGTGATTTCATACACTAATTAAAAAATATACAACTTAATAAAAAAAATTTATCTCCCCTTTAATGTCTGGGGCAACAAAATACGGCCTTTTTTGGACTAAAAATTTAATATGAGTAGTCTGAAATACACACGATGGGTGTAGCTCAATTGAGCACTCTGATTGGTTGATGAATTTGTGGGATTCATTCTACCTAAATATAGCTAAATTTATCATGCACTTTAAAGCGAAAAGAACAGAAAATTGTTAAAATCTTAATGGCATTCAGTTTATTCTATGAGCTTAAAATCTGAAGACCATTTTCATGTGCACTATCATGTCCACATTCTACGTGGTACAATAACCACATTCATGAAACTAAAACAAGACATCCTTTAATCATCTTTATAGGTCATGTAAACGTTTAAAATACAAAATAAATCCTTACTCACCGATGAAACAAAGGGGCATTTGGAAACTGAAAAATAAAGCAATGCATAATATATTTAGAAACAACATATCAAATGAATTGTTTTCATTTAGAATTTATTTATAACTTACACATTAAAAAAAGTAAATTAATTTAAAAAAGAAAAGAAAAAGAAAAATGAAGCATTCCACTTACATTAGGATCTTTGTTTCCAATCAGTAGCTGTAACCAAACAGAGGTCAGGAATTAGGTTTTTTAAAATTAACTGTACATCAACCATCTTACACATTTTAATTTGTATTAATGCATACTTGAATCCTCCGTAGAAAAATGGCTGTTTGGAATTCCCACCTTAAATAACAAGAAACCCATAGGCCACATGGCTCAACCAAGCACAAAGCAGACATCATTTCAGTACTGAAAAGTTTAAATTACATAAGTGCCCCACCCCCTCCCCCAAAAGGGGGTGGGGCAAAGGGTCATGATTTTAACAAACCTGAATACATACTACCTGAGGAGGATGCATCCATATAAATGTGCCTTATCATGATATGGCTGTTCTTGAGAAGAAGCTTTTTAAAAAGATTTTCTCTATGTATTTCTATACTGTGCAACTATGATTGCACATTGTAATCCCACTCTACCCCAGGGGGTCATGATTTCTACACTATCTGAGGATGGTTCCATATACATGTAAATATGACTATACATAATTTTGCTGTTCTTGAAAAGGTGCTTTTGTAAGATTCTTCCGTTATATTCTACAGCTGCCAAAAAATTCTATACATAGAGCATATTACATACTAAAATCCATATCATATGTCATATCAGCCTGAGTGGCACCATATCTGTTATATATATATATATATATATATATATATGGGGCACGAGGGCTGATATGACATATGATATGGATTTCAGTAAACTATGTAGTATTCTATTTATCAAATATTTAAAATGCTTAATATGCGAGTTTCCATAAAGTCATTGAAGAATGTTTCGTGCATGTTTATGAACTTTTTCTTTAAAATCTCATAGAGCCAATTTTAGGTATTTGAAAAAATTAAGTCCACAAAAGTTATCAAAGAATTATTTTACATATATATTTAAATAAAATCAAGTAAATTAACTTTTTCGGACCAGTCCTTGATATGGGGTATTGTGACGTCACCCGTATTGCACGTGCAGAAAACTCTGCACACACCACTGAGCATGGACTTGCAATACTGTGAGTGGGTTTTGCTTTCGAACATTTCTACTCTGAATTTTCTGGGTTATAGTTTTAATATTTTTCATTAATACAAAACAAAATTGCCACTTTTCTTAAGTATTAAGAACAAGAGGCCCAAGGGCCTTAACGGTCACCTGAGTATAATACAACAATTTAGAGGATCCATAGAGTATAAAATGAATTGAAAGGTGAAGCTTTGTTGGCCAAAAGCAAGAAAAATAGGGTGATCAGGATCAACAAAATAATTAGTCTACTGTTCATTAACAGTTCATAAATTAGGTTCTAATCTGTTCCCCGTTTATTATTATCACCATACAGTATATGAACAAATTATCTGTGATTCTGTACTATTTCAATTCCTGAATGAAATCCCTTACATTGGACTCTCTTGGTCTTTGATGAACATTGAATAAGACAAGTTATTTTTGTCTCATTTTTATTTATCTATTACTTACAAGTCTACCTGATCATTAAACTACGAAAGTACTTTTTGTATTATACAATAAAAATTCTTGCATAATTCTCTTATTCTATTAACCTTTCAAGTACATTATTTACAGTGATTAATTATCAAAAGTAAATGGCAAAGGGGAATAACTCCTCTCAGTAGATTACAAATTAATAGAGCCCTAGCCAGGACCAGAACACTTCACCAAATGGTCCAGATGTTCAAAAATCTGGTAAAAAAACCCTTCCTTATTAAAACTTTTACTCTTTTTGCCTCTGATATGCCCAGGTGCAGAAGAAATAAAGAAATAATGCATTTTACTACAGATTCACTACATTATCAATAGAGCCCCCCCCCCCCCCCTTTCGAGAAAAACCAGAGCCTCTCACCCTGGGACCAGAAGTTTACTCATCATAAGTAATCACTTTGTTTATCTGCTTAACACTAAGGAGCAGACAGGATTATTTAATAGATTAAATGCATTTTCACTATATTATCATGAGCCCCACCCTCACACCAGCACAAATGACCCAGGGGTCATGGAATTCACTACTCTGGAAGAAGCACTCTTGTTCATCATAACTATACACTTAACTTCTTTGCTTTTTACCAGAAGCAGAAAAGAATATTTTCAGAGAAATTTTGCTTTTTCACTATATAATCAATAGAGCCCCTCCCCCCTCCTTTTTCACCAGAACCCTTGACCCTGGGGCCATGAAATTCATAATTTTGGAAGAGGCATCCTTGCGTATCATAACAATGTACTAATAGTTTGTTTAAATAATACCCAGGGGCAGAGAAGAAGATTTTTAAAGAAATAATTCACCTTCACTATAGGATATATATGGCCCCGCCCTAGCACCAGAACCCCTGTCCCTGGGGCCATGAATTTCACAATTTTGGAAGAGGCATCCTTGCTTATCATAACAATGTACTTAATTTGTTTAAATAATACCCAGGATCAGAGAAGAAGATTTTTAAAGTATTAATGCATTTTCACTATATAATAAATAGAGCCCCACCCTATCACCAGAACCCCTGATCCAGGGTCCATGAAATTCACAATTTTGGAAGAGGCATCCTTGCTTATCATAACAATGTATTTAGTTCGTTAATTTGATTCCCAGGAGCAGAGAAGAAGATTTTCAAAGAAATAATGCACTTTCACCATATGATCTATATAGCCCCGCCCTAGCACCAGAACCCCTGACCCTGGGGCCATGAATCTCACAATTTTGGTAGAGTCACTCTTGCTTATCATAACTATGTATTCAATTTGTTTAAATGATACCCAGGAGTAGAGAAGAAGATTTTCAAAGAAATAATGCACTTTCACTATATGATCCATATAGCCCCGCCCTAGCACTAGAACCCCTGACCCTGGGGCCATGAATTTCACAAATTTGGTAGAGTCAACCTTGCTTATCATAACTATGTATTCAATTTGTTTCAATAATACCCAGGAGTAGAGAAGAAGATTTTCAAAGAAATAAAGCACTTTCACTATACGATCTATACAGCCCCGCCCTAGCACCAGAACCCCTGACCCTGGGGCAATGAATTTCACAATTTTGGTAGAATCACTCTTGTTTATCATAACTATGTATTTAATTTGTTTCAATAATACCCAGGAGTAGAGAAGAAGATTTTCAAAGAAATAATGCACTTTCACCATATGATCTATATAGCCCCACCCTAGCACTAGAACCCCTGACCCTGGGGCCATGAATTTCACAATTTTGGTAGAGTCACCCTTGCTTATCATAACTATGTATTTAATTTGTTTCAATAAAACCCAGTAGTAGAGAAGAAGATTTTCAAAGAAATAATGCACTTTCACTATATGATCTATATAGCCCCGCCCTAGCACCAGAACCCCTGACCCTGGGGCTCAATGCTTATTACAATCATGTCAACAGTTTGACTGCTTGATGTCCAGGAGTAAAGAAGATTTTTAAAGATTGCATTAATTTTGGTGGTTTTAGCCCCACCCCTCAGGCCCCTGGGGGGCAGGGACCATGAAATTCATATTTTTTGTCCCCCTTCACCCATAGATGCTATATGCCAAAATTGGTTGAAATTGGTTGAGCAGTTTCAGAGAAGAAGCTGAAAATGTTTAAATGTTAACGCACGACGGACGACGACGGACAAAAACGGATAGCAATAGGTCACCTGAGTGACTCAGGTGACCTAAAAACTAGATGTAACAATGGGACACCAATTCCCCTGCTGCTAAGCAATTTTTAAATCAATAAAGTCAAGGGAGCTGTGGATAGAGATAGGTACTACCCGGTATAAGGGACAAGAGGCCCAGGGGCCACATCGCTCACCTGAGCACTTTGGCTAGGAAAAAGCAGAAATCAGTTCAGTATTGAAGTTTAAATATAAAAGTGTGTGTGTGTGGGGGGGGGGGGGGGGGGTATAATTTGAATAAACTTGAATCTACTCTTCCTAAGGATGCTTTTGGCCCCTCTATTCTCCTGGGGTCATGATTTGAACAAATTTAAATCTACATTACCTGAGGATGCTCTTATATTACTATGACCAATCATGCCTTCCCTGTTTTTTGAGAAAATGCTTTTTTAAGATTTTTCTTATGTATTCCTATGTAAAAATTTGATCTACCCTTGTGGCCCCACCCTAGCCCCGGGGTCATAATTTGACCAAACTTGAATCTACACTACCTGAGGATGCTTCCATATAAATATGACCAATCATAGCTTTGCTGTTCTCGAGAAGAAGATTTTAAAAGATTTTTCTTATGTATTCCTACGTAAAACTTTGATCACCTATTTTGGCACAACTCTTCGCCTGGGGGTCATGATTAGGAGTGAAATGGTTCACCGCAGTATCGATTCACTGCGGTATTTTTTCTCGGTTTGGTACACGGTGCAAAATCTCTAATTTTCGGTTCTGTTCATTTTTCGGTCGGGAACGTTATTCAGTCGGGTTTGGCATAAGGTAAAACACGTTACTCAGTATAAATAAGTATAGAAAACGTAAATTTTTGATGACTGATAGCTTGTAAAATAATTTTTGACAGTCAAATAATTTTAATCAATTTCTTCTAGTCAATTTGCAAATAAAATTCGTAAAATATGTGACTAGATTTAGAAAAAGAAAGCATAAAACAACGTTGAATTTGTTTCCTTCTATCAAAATGTACTCTATCAAAAATAACCGAACCGAGACAAAATTATACAATACGTATCGAACCGTGAAGGAGGTGTATCGTTTCACCCCTAGTCATGATTTGAACAAACTTGAATCTACACTACCTAAGGATGCTTCCATATAAATATGACCAATTATTGCTTTGGTGTTCTTGAGAAGAAGATTTTTAAAGATTTTCCCTATGTATTTCTATGTAAAACTTTGACCCCAATTGTGGCCCAACCCTACCCCATGGGGGTCATGATTTGAACAAATTTGAATCTACACTACCTGAGGATGCTTCCATGTAAATATGACCAATCACGGTTCTTGAGAAGATTTTTAAATGATGCCATTAATTTTTCATGAAATCATAATTATCTCCCCTTGGAAGAAGGCGCAGCCCTTCATTAGAACAAACTTGAATCCCCTTTACCCAAGGATACTTTGTGGCAAGTTTTGGTTGAAATTGGCCCAGTGATTCTTGAGAAAAAGATGAAAAAGTGAAAAGTTTACAACAATGCCAACAATGATGACAGACAACGGACAAATTTCGGAATTTGGAACCGGCGGTATCCGGTTTGGACAAATTATACTGTAATAAAGATTGATTGAAAGTCGCATAATCGAAATTTTATTCCGTGGTATAGGAGGACTTGTGGATAAGGGATAGCTTCTCACAAGTGCAACAAAGGAATAGATGAAATGATGTAGGGACAGTCACCACTATCATTATATACCCCCCACTTTTCAAACAGTGGAAATAATAATAAACCCCTTATAGGTCAAATATGGATGGAAAACCATTAGTCACATCAATTAAAGATCATATTCCCCATGCTGTCTTTAAAGACTGATATCAAATGTTTCAACCTTGACCTTTACATTTATGCAGACTAACCTTGGTGACCTTTTTATTTGTCTCCAGTAAATCTCGGACAACGTTCAGCATTTGTTGGACGGTCATGTGGCTCTTTGCCTAAAATTAATTTTAATAAAGATGGTTAAAATAATCCAAAACACAGAATTAGTGGGAAAAACATTTTAAATTCTTGCACTGAACAAGAGAGGTTACAAAAATATGTTATAAAACAGTAGAGTAAGTTTACAGGCATTGATGAAATGGATCCTCAATGTTGCAGATCAGTGCTCAGAAGAAAAACAAGAGGCCCATGGGCCACAACGCTCACCTGAGTCAATATGGCCCTGCTGTTCTTCGTCAGCAGATTTCTTTTCCTATATTTCTCCTATATATTCATATATAAAGCTTTGATCGCCTGTTCTAGGCATACCCTACCCCAAAGTGCCATGTTTTGAATGAAATTGAATATAAACCTTCTGAGGATGCTTCTATCTTCATATAACTAATCATGATTTTGCTGTTCTTTAAAACAGAATTTTAAATATGTCTAACACCCTACCCTGGGGGGGGGGGGGGGGGAGGTCATGATTTGAACAAACTTGATTGTACACTACCTGAGGATGCTTCCATATCAATATGACTGATCATGGCTTTGTTGTTCTTGAGATTGAAGAAGATTTTTAAAGATATTTCCTGTATATGTTCTATTGTAAAACTTTGATCCCCCATTATGGCCCCACCCTACCACTGGGGGATGCCTTAAACTAGCTTGAATCTACAATATTTGGGGAAGATTCCATATCAATATGACTAATTGTGGCTTTGTTGTTCTTGAGAAGAAGATTTTTAAAGATTTTCCCTATATATTCCTATGTTAAAATTTGATCCCCCATTGTGGCCCCACCCGTCTCCCGGGGGTCATGATTTGAACAAATTGGAAGCTACACTTCTTGAAGATGGTTCCATATCAATATGACTAATTGTGGCTTTGTTGTTCTTGAGAAGAAGATTTTTAAAGATTTTCCCTATATATTTCTATGTAAAACTTTGATCCCCCATTGTGGCCCCACCCTACCCCCGGGGGTCATGATTTGAACAAACTTGAATCTACACTACTTGAGGATGATTCTATATCAATATGACTAATTGTGACTCTGTTGTTCTTGAGAAGATTTTTTTCTATATATTCCTATACAAAACTTTGATCCCTCATTGTGGCCCCACCCTACCCCCGGGGGTCATGATTTGAACAAACTTGAATCTACACTACCTGAGGATGATTCCATATCAATATGACTAATTGTGGCTTTGTTGTTCTTGAGAAGAAGATTTTTAAAGATTTTCCCTATATATTCCTATGTATAACTTTGATCCCCCATTGTGGCCCCACCCTACCCCCGGGGGTCATGATTTGAACAAACTTGAATCTACACTATGTAATGAAGGTTTCACATAAGTATAAACTTTTCTGGCTCAATGGTTCTTGAGAAGAAGATTTTTAAAAGATGACACCAAATTTTCACCAATTCTTAATTATCTCCCCTTGGAAGAGGGCGTGGCCCTTCATTTGAACAAACTTGAATCCCCTTCACCCAAGGATGCTTTGTGGCAAGTTTGGTTGAAATTGGCCCAGTGGTTCTGGAGAAGAAGTCGAAAATGTGAAAAGTTTACAGACGGACGGACAGACGGACAGACGGACAGACAGACAGACAGACGGACTACAGACAAAATGTGATCAGAAAAGCTCACTTGAGCTTTCAGCTCAGGTGAGCTAAAAACTTGATTTAATGACAAGAGGACATTATCAGAAAGGTCATGCTACTTTAGTATTTCAAGGTCATACATTCAACATTGGAAAGATTGCCTAGGACAGGACTTTATTTTTTCTTTTCAACGTGGCCAAAAAATGATCATGTTATGCAAATTTTTCATTATTTCTAATTTTACATATAGAAAAAATATCCCTAAATTTTATGTGCATGAAAATCAAAGATTAAAACACAAACCACTTGGCAAATTTTTGTCCAAGCTGCTCGGCACATTTCAGGTGATTGTTTGTCCAGCTCTGCCCACACAGTATCTGGAATTCGGTTGTGCTGCAATGATGGTCCCTCTATGGCAGTCTCCAGGGAGTTTAAAAATGACCTGTATTCATCAATACCCCATTCCACTACAATACAAACCAGACTGCACATCAAATGCCAAAATCAAGCATTATTACATTATATTTCCATTTCTATTTGTTTTCTCTGTGATAACTCTTTGAAAGTTAATTGAGTTGATTTCTTGATCATTCTACTGGAATGCAAATTTCGCCAAGCTAAAGGTCAGGAGCTAAGAAGGCCTAAAATGCAAGTAATTTTCGTGCGGTTGTCTTTGTGTCTGATGCTAAGGAGGCTTAATATGCATGAAATTCTCGTGCCGCTGTCTTTGTGTTTGATGTCAGTGGGCGGGGACTATTGAAATTGACATGAGGCTTCGTGTAATTTAAATCTATTAGTTTACATTTTTAAAATCTAAATTTACAATTTTATTTCACAATGAAATGGAAATATAAGGAATCACTGTCTAGTTAGTTAAGTATGCCAGGGACATCAACGATAGTTGGAAACGTGCCTGGGATAATTAATGCATGACGGGCTTTGCCCGTTATGCAAATTATCCCATGTTTCCAACTATTGTTGATGCCCTGGCATACTCTACTAACTAGACAGCGATTCCTTAAATAACCAAACAAATCATTTTAAAATGAATTTTAATTATCAGTTTTAGAAATGCTTCTAATAATACCATAAAAGTACTGCCATTGTTTGCCATATTTATCTGAACCAATTATTTATCCTCCACCCTTAATAGTCCTTGTCTTCACAACAAACTTTTACCTGTAAAATGTTTACCTATTACACTTTTACCTGTTAAATGTTGAACTGTTACACTTTTACCTGTTAAATGTTTAACTGTTACACTTTTACCTGTTAAATGTTTACCTATTATACTTTTACCTGTTAAATGTTGAACTGTTACACTTTTACCTGTTAAATGTTTAACTGTTACACTTTTACCTATTAAATGTTTACCTATTACACTTTTACCTGTTAAATGTTTAACTGTTACACTTTTATCTGTTAAATGTTTAACTGTTACACTTTTACCTGTTAAATGTTTACCTATTACACTTTTACCTGTTAAATGTTTACCTATTACACTTTTACCTGTTAAATGCTTACCAAGGCTCTTTTCTATTGGTTCCTTTTCTGTTTCTATTGGTTCCTTATCTGTAAAGACAAATACATGTATGTATACAGGAATCAAATTCATCATTTAGTATTAAGTGTACACACAGGCCACATGCTACCCATATTAACCTGCATTGTGCCTTGAATGTTTGGAGAGAAACTTGCTACTGATATTTCTGAACTGTAGGGAAAACACATTCTATAAGAAGCTGTCAGTGTCTTGCATTCATAGATAATATATCTTTGCACAAACTTATAAACTCTAAAATTCAGGAGCTTCCCTGGGCTTCATTTCCCTACCCAGAAAATGTACAAGTTATTTGAAATAATCACATACAATGCTAAAAATAAACATTCAAAATAATTAAAAGTGTGTTAATCCTTGTCTGATCTCAAAATATCAAATAAAGTTGTAGCTTTTCCACAGGGATCAACATTAACGGTTGTCCGAATGCCCGGGGCAAGTAAATTTTCAGTTAGGGCAAGTAAAACTGCTCATGTACTTGTCCGATCGGGCAAGTGAATATTTCTGATAGATTTTTTATCTTACATTAATTTATAAACAAATGATAAATTGAACATTTGATTTCTACCAGGATATGACATTGTTTTTGCATTCAGAATTTAAATTCCTCGGTAGCTTTTCTAGATGATACCGTTTATTAAAAAATTTGGTTGTTATTCCGTTTTTCTTCCGTGCTAGTTCATCTCACAGCTTTATTTTACATTTTTATTATGAAATAAGATATTATAAAATACAGGTGACTTTCGATGGCTCAAACTCCGATCTCTCAAAGTTCTCGATCTCTTGAAGTGAACCTACAGTCCCGTTTTTTCCTCTTTATAACTAAGCAAATTTACTCATGATCTCTCGCACTCCCGATCTCTCGAAGTTCTCTATCTCTCGAACCAAGACCTGGGTCCCGTTACATATATTTCATTGTTTTTTACTCTCTATCTCTCGAAGTTTTGATTGTACATGTATACACATCAATCAAGCGTAAAATTAATTCAGCTCGGACTTACCTGGATAACAGTGAACACCTGAGGCTTGGATGGACATGTTAATATTGGGCGATTACATAGATGATACTACACCTGTGAGTCGTCCAAGTGTTGATATAATAAATTGGTTAATTGGTAAATAAACAAATCGCTTCACAACTTATTTTGATTGGATGAGACGATAATTTTGAGAAAATAATTTAGGGGCGTTTAAGTAATTTTCCATAGATTATGAACTTTAATATTATTAGAGTCTACACAATCCCAGTTTCACAAACATTTCACACGAAATCCTATCTCAAGAATTGTATACCGATTGCGAGCAATCTTGTGAAGGACCGATCAAGCCCGCCCGGGGGTAAGCAAAATCGACAATTGCTATTCAGGTTTCATGTAATCATGAAATGAGAACAAATAAATATTGAAACTTAAATTAATCATTTTATTTATTCAAAACATGATCATTGTTGTTTAAATCAAGTGAATTAACTGTAAAATACGAATGAAAACGTGTAATAATTTATCAATATATAATGTATAATAGTAGAACAATGATGATCGGAACTGAAAATTCAGGTTTTTATTCACTTTCTATCTCTCGAACCCCCCGTTCTCTCGAACATTTCTTATGGTCCCTTGAACTTCGAGAGATCTCGAGTCACCTGTAGTTTATTTATTCACTCACAGAATATAAAGAACACAAATTTCTCTGCGCATGATGTATCCTGATCAGAATATGTATGTTTCGAAACATGGCACTGTTTTCCTGTAGTGTAGCTTAAGTTTGTCAGGGAAAAAAAAAAATCAAAATTCACAAAAAAATTCGCACAGAAAATAATTTAAAAAAATGAAATTTATTTAAAGGAAATATTGCTGCATGGCAGTATGAGTTACAGGATAGTAAATTACAGGAAATCGGTATACAAGTATTTACAAATGTAGCATCACCAGCACATTAAGATTTTTGTGTAGTAGTTAAATTGTCAAAAACATATAAAAAGTTAAATCTCATTTTATTTACAATAATGAATTAAGTTACCGGTATTTTCTCTTCTTTCTAAATTTTGGGCAACCAAATTCTGTTTTCGGACAAGTCAAAGTTTGAGTTCGCTTGCCCAAAGCGCAAGTGAATCTGAAAATTAATGTCTATCCTTGTTCCACCAAAACTGTTCACTGCAGCATACGAATTAAATCAAATTTTTTTATATAATTTATCCTTTTGGAAAGAGGTTGGTGTTAACATGATGAAAAATCCTCCATGTAAAGAATGCTTTCAGTACATGTAATATAAATATGGTGATTAGAAATACTTAAGATTCAAATATATTTTTTTGTTTGAGAGTTACGAGTTTTTCTGCTTTTGTCTGGAAATATACAGGTAAACAATGTCATATTCCAATAAATCCCTCTACCTCCACAGTAAACTTGTTTATAATCCCAGCATTCATGGGACTCCCTTAGTTTAGAATCCCAGCATTCATGGGACTCACTTAGTTTAGAATCCCAGCATTCATTGTACTCCATTAGTTTAAAATCCCAGCATTCACTGGACTCCCTTAGTTTATAATGCCAACATTCATCAGACTCCCTTAGTTTATAATCCCAGCATTTATCGGACTCCCTTAGATTAGAATCCCATCATTTATCGGACTCCCTTAGTTTATAACCCCATCATTTATAGGACTCCCTTAGTTTATAATCCAATCATTCATCAGACTCTCTTAGTTTATAATCCCATCATTCATCAGACTCCCTTTGTTTATAATCCAATCATTCATCAGACTCCCTTAGTTTATAATCCCATCATTCATCCTACTCCCTTAATTTAATTAGAATTCAAACATTCATTGTACTCCCTTAGTTTAGAATCCCAGCATTCACTGGACTCCCTTAGTTTATAATCCAATCATTCATCAGACTCCCTTAGTTTATAATCCCATCATTCATCCTACTCCCTTAGTTTAGAATCCCATCATTCATCAGACTCCCTTAATTTAATTAGAATTCAAACATTCATCGTACTCCCTTAGTTTAGAATCCCAGCATTCACTGGACTCCCTCAGTTTATAATCCCATCATTCATCAGACTCCCTTAGTTCATAATCCCATCATTCATCATACTCCCTTAGTTTAGAATCCCATCATTCATCAGACTCCCTTAATTTAATTAGAATTCAAACATTCATCGTACTCCCTTAGTTTATAATCCCAGCATTTATTGGACTCCCTTAGTTTATAACCCCAGCATTTATCGGACTCCCTTAGTTCATAATCCCAGCAATTATCAGACTCCCAGTATAAAACCTTCGTACCTGAGTTTACTTTCTCCTTCTTTTTTGGAGATTCCACCTCATTCCCCTTTATTTTTTCTGTGAATGAATGTGGAATTAAATATAAATGTGGACATGATTTTTTAATATCATTTTATCATTTCATTATGGTTGTAACATGGCATTTAATTGGACGTAAAATTAAGATTATTTTTTTACAATCTATGTTACATAGGTCATCATATGACTTGTATCAAAAACATATCAATCCCCTTGGCATTACATATTTTACAATTTGAAGAGAAATTGTCACAACTTATATGGTGCATAATGATAGAAAATTAAATTGTAAGAAATAAATTTAATAACTATCCAAGTTATACTTGTATAACCAAATAGGAACAGTTTACTCCTTTTATAAATAGCTTCATGGTTTAAAAAGCATAAACTGTCCCAACCTATGTCATACTTTGGCAGCTTTTTATTTCATTCCTAATCCTAATTAAATGAAATTAACTTTCTTTAAAATCATCTTTAACAAGTAAATGTAACATTCAGCATATTTTAACACGTGTACAAAATAGAAAATTAGCTCAGTATTCATTAATTCCATGTTTTATATAAATAGACTAAAATTTTTGCACTATCATATTCCTTAGTATTATCAAGTATAGATCTACTAAAAAATACACACTCTATATCAAATACTTGTGACAGTTTATCAGCATTTGATGCCAGATTACTGTGGAATCATTTAAATTCGTGGGGGTCAATGTTCGTGGGCAAGCAAAATTCTATTGGTTCGTGGCGATGTAATTTCGTGGGCAGCTCGTTTATTTGGTAGATTTAATTAATCAGTATGTTGACAAAAAAAATTGTTCGTGGGGATGTAAATTCGTGGGTAAGGGTGACCCACAAAATCCACGAACATTGATCCCCCACGAACAATGATGATTCCACAGTATTGGGACTTATTATCATCACTCTATATCAAATACTTGTGACAGTTTATCAGCATTTGATGCCAGATTATTGGGATTTATTATCATCACTCTATATCAAATACTTGTGACAGTTTATCAGCATTTGATACCAGACTATTGGGACTTATTATCATCACTCTATATCAAATACTTGTGACAGTTTATCAGCATTTGATGCCAGATTATTGGGACCTATTATCATCACTCTATATCAAATACTTGTGACAGTTTATCAGCATTTGATACCAGATTATTTTCACTTATTATCATCACTCTATATCAAATACTTGTTACAGTTTATCAGCATTTAATGCCAGATTATTGGGATTTATTATCATCACCTTTGTTCATCTTCTTTTTCTTTTTCTTTAACTTCTTCTCTGAAACTGGAAAGACATACATGAATATAAAAGCTATTTTTGATGAACCTTCATCAAGTTTATCAGAATTAAATAGAGATGTATAAACCAATATAGACCAATACTCACTTTGATTGAAAGGCTTGTTCCCAGATTGTTGATTGTCTCCCCTCTCTTTATGTGAAAAAAAGGATTGTTAAAGTATAACAACGTTATCATAAAGAACTCTTGGATAGATAGATTTACAGGGTGGATAGATAGATTTACAGGGACATCCCAAAGAATCGAAATAGCAGGGGATGTTAAAAAAGTAGAAGGGGTTCTGGGGCTCTTCCCCTAATAAGATGTTGCTGGGGAATTCAGAATAATGGAATAACATCATTCATTATAGGTGGAAACCTTAGGGATAAACCCTGGATTTACATTTGATACAGTTTACCTTAAAAAAAAACATGTCAATTTCTCTCTATGTGTTTCAAAATTTAATTTTTGAAGAAAATTTTAATTAGCATTTACATTTCAAAAATAATCATCTGAGAAAGCATGACCTTAAAAGGTTTTTATCATGTCTCAAAATTTTTTGTTATGACAAAGTTTATATGTTATTAAAATCATATATTTAAAAATCTTTGCTAGAAAATTAATATTGTTGATGTTAGTGATTCAAAGTTTGAATTTCTCAATATGCATATTTTGTTCACCGATGCTTTGTGCCATTGCTCTGATGTCATAGGTGTCAATCCTGGTCAAGCAAAGTACTTATTGTGTATACAAAAGGGCTCATTTGTTGTGTCTATTTAACCTGTTAGTAAATAAATAAGTAATAATTGACAGCTAGTAAGGTATAATTTGTGGCTTTAGGATGCACAAATACGCACAAGAAAGGTTTTAGGAAGACTTTTTTTCACATTTCCTGGACTTGGTTGAGAAGTGAAAGGGGGCCCTTTTTTTGCAAATGCGAGGGCTTTGTCTCCATTCAGAACAATTGTTTATGCCCAATCACGATTTTTTTCTGTACTATAAAATATTTTAAGGACATGGTACCTTTTTTAAAATGGAAAAAAAATACCCAACACACACTTTTAAAGTCCCACAGAATCTAGTAAACGCTAGTAGGAATGTTGTGAACTTCATAATGGTGTACGGCGTTACGAACAGTGTTGAAGAAATGTCATTTTTAGTACATGATATTCACTGGAACAGATAGAATATTTATATATAGTTTATTAAAATAATGAAGTTGAATTTAAAATTCTCCTGTTTATAAATATTTACGAAATCCAACTTAAGTTATTCGTTCTATTTGGTCGGAAGTCCCGAGTTGTCAACGGCTTCGTCTTCAGTTTTCTCTCCTATTGTTGGCATATTTTCTTGGTTATTTTTCTCTGCTAGACGTTCATACATAAAAGATTGACTGTCTACAACTACATGTAAAAGAATATTGTTGATGTTAAAATGTCCACTGACCTTATTGTGTAGTGTATATTATTTAACGTGAAAATCTATTCGATACGTTTTTCTTATGATAAGCTTTACAAGTTCTAATTGACCATTGACACCTATGACATTTCAGTACCACGTGACCCCTATCTAATCAGTGGAGATTTTTACTTTGAGAACTCTATATTACAGGCATTTTATCGCCTAATTATGACTGTTTTCAAAGTTATTTCATAACTAAAGGATAATTATATGTTTCAAGCAGTGTTCGAAATTCAAAATTATTTTCTATGGGTCCAAAGGACCCACAGATAAAGGGACTACACGAGTCCTTCCACACACTGCTCAACGCGTTATCGGCTATTCGGTTGTTATCGGGCATTCGGTGCAAGGAAAGCAAAATTTAGAAAACATAGGTGATTTTAAATTTCTTTCTTTTTTTTTTTTTTTTTTTTAAATATTTATTTCAGCTTTCACATTTATATCAAATAAGCGTATATCTTCACTCATGTGCATATTAAGAATACATATACAGAGTACATTTACATACCTAGATATACATTTACACACATACACTTATGTGAAAGTTGGTTTAATAAGGAAGAAGAAAAAGAAGAAAGAAGAAATAGAGGAAAAGGAGGGAGAAAGTAAAAAAAAAGAGAAAAATAAATAAATAAATATAATAAAGAAGGGGGCATAGTATTTTTTTTTTTACATTAAGGTGGTAATGAGCAACATTCATTCCTTAAAAAATTTGCATACATACATATAAATTATAACATTTCACATATTCTCTGCCAGTTATTTTCAAACTCTGTATATTTACATTGTTTCAATAGTAAAAATTTCTCAATCAAGATTCTTTCCACAATAATTGTTTTTAGAGTTATTGTACTTAACAGTGGATGGTTTTTATATTTACTTGAAAAAATGTAATTTTTAATTATCAGAGTAATTAAATTTTGCACTTTATGTGTATCCCTATTCTTATATTTACCAAATAATATTGCTGTTCTGTCAAAAACTACAGATATGTTAAACTTAGACAGAAACCACTCTTCAATATCATTCCAAAGCTCTTTTACTAAATAACATTCAACAAAAAGATGGTCAATTGACTCAATGTCATTCTTACAGAAACTGCAAGCTGGGGACTCCTTTATCTTAAGTTTAAAAAGATATGAATTTGTTGGAACTATTCTATGTAAAATTTGAAATTGTAACCACTGAAGTTTTGATTCTTGTGTAACTTTAAATGGGAGTTCAAAAATTTTACTCCATTCAGGCAAAGTGAATAAATATCCATCTTCATTCCATTTTAAAATTGAAGTACTTGTTTCTTTCTTTCTATTAATAAGAATGTTATACATATCTTTACATCCTTTCACATTAATATAAAACATCTTCACAGAATTGGGTATATTTGGGCCATAAGAAATCAACATATTCATTTGGTTTTTGTTCACAAATCTATCTAACACTGCCTGTTTCAAGCCAGAATATTCAACAAAATTTGTTTTTACACCGAGATCTTTAAGGGTGTCGAGGCTTAAAAAATTATTATCAAAGTCAAACAAGTCACTGATGAAAACAAAACCAGCATTAAAATAACTTTTAAGAAAGATAGAAGACTCGCCCATGATGATTTTTGGATTATACCATATGTGTTCTTGGAATAAATTTGTATCTTTCTGTTGTTCTACAAGACATATCTTAAGCCAACTTTTAAAGACTTCTATCCAGAAAGTGTTTGTTATTTTCTTACATAATTTAGCAGTAAAATCTGGACCCATTAACCAAAGATTTTTAATCTCTGTATGTAGTTGTGCTTGAAGTAATTTTACCCATTTGGAATCTGAATGGATTAATCTTCTTATCCAACTTGATTTTAATGCTATCATAAACTCTGAATAATCTACCATTCTAAGGCCACCATCTCTATAGTCTTGAATGATAGTATTTCTTTTTATTTTATGGACTTTACTTCCCCAAAGAAAAGAATAAATTTCATCCTCAAATACTTTTACAATTTCTAATGATGGATTAGGTAGAGTAAGTATCAAGTGATTTAATTTAGGGATAATCAATGTTTTAATTACAGTTAACCTACCAATGGGGGTTAACTTTCTTACTTTCCACTGATTTAATTTTTTTTTAATCTCACTTAACTTTGATGTATAATTGAGATTAATCATATTATGTAAGTCTACTGAAAATTTAATCCCTAAAAGATCAAAAGTTGTGCTACTCCAGTCTAACTTCCATCTAGAATGGTGATATACATCCTTTGAAAATTTTTTACTACCAATCCATATCATTTTTGTTTTTTGAAAATTTATTTTGAGTCCTGACACCTTTGCAAAGTAGTCTAATTCTCTAAGAATTCCATCCATAGATTCAGGTGATCCATCAGAGATAAGTGATGTATCATCTGCATATTGAGAAATCTTGTACTCTTCTCCGTCTATTGTTATACCTCTTATATCTTTATTTTTGCGAATTAAAATACCTAAAATTTCAGCACATAGTAGTAACAAATAATGTGATATAGGATCCCCCTGTCTACAACCCCTTTCTGGATATATATAATTAGATATAAAACCATTTTGTATGACACAGGATTTAATATTGCTATAAAAAGTCTTTATCCAGTTTTTAATTGAGGTTCCAAAATTGAAAAAATCAAGTGTTTCGTAAATAAAATTCCATGAGATAGTATCAAAAGCCTTTTCAAAATCTATAAGCATAAGTAATCCTGGAATTTGATTGCATTCTGTATAATCCATTATATCATAAATCAATCTAATATTCTCTCCAATATATCTTCCTTTTAAAAATCCAGTTTGATCTGTATGTATTAATTTATTTAAGACTTTTTTTATTCGCTCAGCTATACACCCAGATGCTAGTTTGTAAATATCATTTAAAAGGCTAATGGGGCACCAATTTTTTAAAAATTCTCTTGGTTTTCCTGCTTTTGGTATGCAAGTAATAATCCCTAATCTATTTGCATCTGAAAAATGCATTGATTCATTAGCATTATTTATTGCCCTTGTCACAAATGTACCAATATCTTTCCAGAAGAATTTAAAAAACTCGCATGTAAATCCATCCGGTCCCGGACTTTTATCATTTTTCATATTTTTCAAAAAATATAAAACTTCTTCCTTAGTTATTGGTCCCTCTAAACTTGCTGATTCCCTTTCACTTAGTCTGGGTATATTATAATCTTTTAATCTAGTGTAAATACTATCATCTGTTTCCACACTCTCTCTTTTTTTATATAAATTTTCATAGAATCTTTTTGTTTCATTTAAAATATCTTCTTGATTGGATATCGTACATCCATCTTCTTTGATAATTTTTGGGATTTGTTTACTGATATAATTTCTAGACTCTAAACTTGCAAAATACTTTGTCGGTTTTTCCCCTTCCTCAACCCATTTAACTCGAGATCTAATGCACTGACCTATCATTTTATTTTTTCTTATTTCTTCAATTTCCTTTTTTTTATTTGCGAGATCATTTGCATTACTTTCAGTTATGTTCTGTTCCAATTCTAATAACTCTTTTTCTAACTGAGCTTC